TTACCGCAGATGCTTCAAATTATATCGCGACATGAATTTTAAGCCATATCGCCCAGCCCTACTTACTAATTAATTGTACTAGTTGCTCAGTTGCTTTTCCGTTTAGAGGTATAATGGTGATTTAATGAGCAATTTTTTCCTGACATTTAGGTTTTTTGTTAACAAGGACATCTCTTGTACTGATTTTTGTTTCTTTTCTCTTTAGACTGAGTGGCTGTTTCCTCTCTAAGAGAAGCTGTGAAGCTTTGTCCTCAATTCTGAGCTCCCAGTCCTGTAGTCTGACAGAGTTAGACCTGAGTAACAACAATCTGCAGGATTCGGGAGTGAAGCTTCTTAATGCTGCTCTGCAGAGTCCACATTGTACACTAGAAAGTCTGAGGTCAGATTAGTGAATATTTTATTTATTTATGTTGAATTATTTTAGCTGAAAAGTAAAGATCTTTTTTTTTGTAGCTTAGCATTTTTAATATTCCTTAGTAACAGTAACCTGCCACATTTCTGTTTAAAATAAGGCAAAATTTTCAACCATTTCTGAAATATAAAATGTTGCCAGTAGTAACTGCTGATTGCATCATCAATTGTTATAAAGTCAGTGTTTTTTTTTGTCAGACTGAATTGCTGTAACCTCTCAGGGAAAAGCTGTGAAGCTCTTTCCTTAGTTCTAAGCTGCCCGTCCTCCTGTCTAAGAGAGCTGGACCTGAGTGACAATGACCTTCAGGATTCAGGAGCCAAATATATTTCTGCAGAACTGCAGAGTCTGCATTGTACTCTGAAAACTCTGAGGTCAGTGTTTAGTCCTTTTCACTCCATATAATTTGTAATTTGTATCATATTCTTACTTAAAAAGCTAAGTCTTATACAATTTTAGACTCTGAATTGCTGTTTATAAATATTTTTGTAAAAGTTTGTAAAAATTAGTCTTGGAGGTTTTTTTTTTCCAGATTATGTCCTTTAATGAGCATACTAAAGATTAATATAGTACTAACTTCCTGTGATTAGTTTTATTACAATTTAAAACATCTTAGCCTATAATAGCCTTGGAAAAACCTGAATCACACACTTACTATTTTTAATAATAATAATGATTACTTTATTTATGCCCGTGGGGAAATTCCTCCGATCATGGAGCCGCCACTCTACCTACTGAGCTATCCCTACCCCTGACTGATATATTACATTATTTGCAGGTTGTCCTAAAAGTTCCATGAAAAGCTTTAAGCTGATCCAAATTGCTGCAATGAGAGTACTAAAAGGGGCTAAATGGAGAGAACATATTTCTCCCATATTAGCTTGTCTCCATATATCCATATGTCTTCATATCTGATACTCCTACATTACCCTATTGCGGCACTTCACTGTCAGACAGCTGGTTGACCTCTGGTTCCTTGAGTTTCTGAAAGTAAAATGGGAGGTGCTCCCTTCAGCTATCAACCTCCTCCCTGGTGGAACCAGCTCACAGTTTTGAATGAAAAGATAGACATTCTCTCTACTTATAAGATTAGACGGAAGACATTGGTTTATGATAAAGCAAGTGAGGGAAAAGTCAACCCTCCCTAACCCTGGAGGTCTTTTCCTGGGAAAAATGAGTTCCTCCTTCCAGCTGTAGCCAAGTACTGCTCAATAGGATGAGTGTGATTGTTCATATATGTTCTGTGATATTGTAGGGTTTCCTGCTGTACAACTTGAGACAACTGTTGTTGCTTTATAATGCTTAATCAGTTGGAATGAATAAGGGTCATTTTATCTGGAAAAAATGAAACCCGAGACTAGGGATGGGTACCGGTGTCGTTCTGACATAAACGGTAGTAACCAGACCGAAAAGCAG